TTTCCAAATGTGATACATAATAAATATTGAAAAGAAAATTTTCAAAGCCTTTGCTGAGTGTACCTTTAGACTTAAAACTTATTCGCTGAACCTTTTAGGTACTAGGAAGACAGATCATCATTATTTTAAGTAATATATTAAAATACTAGATTTGATGGTCTACATGAAAGTAATTTATTTTATAAGCATGAATTATAATATTAAGTGGAAATCTGAATACTGGACTCCAGAATTATCACAACAGCTGTTAAGATATCTGCCTATAAGACCGGGCGCGGCGGCTCACGCCTGTAATCCCAGCACTTTGGGAGGCCAAGGCGGGCGGATCACAAGGTCAGGAGATCGAGACCATCCTGGCTAACATGGTGAAACCCTGTCTCTACTCAAAATACAAAAAAATTAGCTGGGCACAGTGGCGGGCGCCTGTAGTCCCAGCTGCTCAGGAGGCTGAGGCAGGAGAATGGCGTGAACCCCTGGGAGGTGGAGCTTGCAGTGAGCCGAGATCGCGCCACTGTACTCCAGCCTGGGGACAGAGCGAGACTCCGTCCCAAAAAAAAAAAAAAAAGATATCTGCATATAAAATCAAATCATAAAAAAAAAATTAAAAGTTTCAGTTTTTAGAAAATCTAATTGTAAGGATTCTAATCGGTAATATTTTATACATATTGTGATTACAAACTTTATTTTTAGTTCAGAATGTCTGCAATATATTAAGCTCTTCTCTATTAACAAAATAAAGAAATTATATCTTTAAAATACTCTTTATTTTGATAACAGATTTGTTAAGTAATGACTATTTTAATAAAGAATTGCCATAGGCCAGTGCAGTGACTAATGCCTGTATAATCCCAGAACTTTGAGAGGGCAAGGCAAGAGAATGCATGAGTCCAGGAGTGAGCTATGATCTGCCACTGCACTCCAGCCTGGGTGAAAGGTTGTCTCTAAAAATAAAAATCCTCTCTCTAAAAATATAAAAGAATTGCCATGATTTTATATCACAGAAAAAATATATTTTAAAAATTAAGAAGGGGAGAGTCTAGTAGAACAGTCAGACCAGTACATGTGTCCTGGAAAATGAACATAGAATACAGTGCATTTTTAAGTTAATATAAATAACCTTGATAGCACAAAACATATTTTCATGGCATATTCTATATGTTTTCAAATGACATGAAAAGTCATTCAGAACAAGGAATCAGAATTCATTTGTAATTATAACTTTTTTACTTAAATGTATTGGCTTTTTAAATTTTAGAAAGTTATATACTTCTGTTCAGAAAAAAAGCTTTTGTGAGACATCATTTTTCAGTTTGTATTTTTATTCCAATTTGGAAACTGCAAAAGCATAAACCTAAAAAACTAAAAGGTGGTGAGCCAGAAGATGGATATTAAACAGTCAAAATTAATAAAAACATTCACAGAAAATAATCTGCACAAAAATCATAACCTCTTAATAAGGAAATTAGTACAACAAATATTTCTTCTAGCCCAAAACACTCCTTAGTTAGTTTTCACAGAACAGATTTTGTATCTCCTAAAATTAAGCCATTAATACCTTTCTCTTAAGTGTCATAAATATTGTATTACATTAATTAAAATTTAATTCTTGACTCTACTAATTTATAGTCTTCAAGTACTTGCCCTCTCCCTGTTCCTTTCCCCTCCCCGAAACCTCATGTTGGTATTTGGACAAAGTAGATTATGATTACACTACTGGGGAACTCCATTTGGAAAAAAAAAAAAAATTCCACAAAATACTAAGAGAGGAAGTATAATAAAAGTTCAAGGGTGGGACAATGTTTCCTTGCACTACGGAAAGTTGAGGGGTATGAGGGTTCCTCCAACAGGGCATAGTGAGAAAAAAATATTTAAGAAATAAGTTGAGAACAGGCTAGCTGAGTAAATAAATTCAAATAAAACAAACTGCAAAAAGAGAATTTTTGCTTTTGTTGCATGTCAGGAAGGGTAGCAGGAGGAAAGAGTGGTTAAACAGAGCCATGAAGCACAAGGACTGGAAACAAGTACAGTCCTAGGTTGGCCTGACCACAGCATGCACTATGAGCTCCACAGTACATAATCCAGGACCCTATTCATTTGGCTTCAACTTCCTCCTATAAAGAAGGGGGGGGGAATTAAAACATGCTTCTCTATAATTTCCACACAACAGTCATAGTTATGTCTGTAGAAATAAAAAAAAACAATGTAACTGGCATTAACTGTAAATGGGTTAGAAGGCATTTTAATGGGGGGATGAAAATGTTCTAAACCTGTACCTCAATAAAGTTATTTTAAAAAATCTATCTCATTCTTCCTTATGGCAGCTCTTCAGATACTCTCTACTATCCTCCAAGAAATAAAAAGCCCAAATGCCTCCACAGAATATAATTTTTCAATTTATTATAGTCTAGTATGTTCAATGTCTTTTTAAAAATGTGGAATCCAAAACTAAATAGATTATTTCCTGTGTGTTCGATTTGTGCAGAATTAATGGGCTTACAGCTTGGCTGGACTGATATATTTTACTTTGGTAAAATAATATTCTGATAAATAGAAAATATTCTGATAAATGGAAAAACTCTGTGGTGAATACTCTAGTAAAATAATACTCTAGTAGCTTAAGATGTTAAACAATCATATCGCACTGTTTTATTATTTTGAATATGAACTTAAATAAAATCTCTAGACTTTTTTGGCCCCCAACAATCAACTGCCATGGAAATTTACTCCTACTCATATATACAGTGTTTTGTAGTTTTTTTACTTAAAAATTAACATTAACGAAAATTTGAGAAAAGAAAGAGAACAGAACCCATAGCTGATAATATGGTATATTTATTTCCAGCAAATTTTGATTGCATGATATAGTCATATTGAGAAAAAATAATTTCCCATTTCTATGGCCATCTTTCCCAGATCCAAGAAATACTCTATTTAATATTCTGTATGACACCATCCCAGATCCAAGAAATACTCTATTTAATATTCTGTATGATAGAATCTAACACATCACTCCGTTTGTCTCCTTACAACTGTTACCACTGGATTTTTTTATTTGGTTACTTCTTGTTTATTTCACCTTATTAGAATATACAGACCCCAGACATACAGGCTCTGCTGACCTTCATTCCCTTGGGACCTCACCTAGTTCCATAGTTAAAATTATTTCTATCTTCTTGCTGACAATTCTTAAAATTGTATCTCCAGCCCAGACCTCTTTCCTGAATTCTAGACTCATATGTATAATGCAAACAGACACATACACACACAAACTTCCCTTACGTATTCACTGCACACACATATGTCTGTTTATTCCACATGTCCAAAATCAAATTCTGGACTCTATTACCCCAACAATCTTCCTCAGTCAGAAACTTACCCATCTTAATTGATGGCCATCCCAAGGCAGTCATTTTGATTCCTCTTTTTCTCTTACAGTCCACACCCATTAATTCCATCAGCATATTTTATTGTTTTTGTCTTAAAAATACATCCAGAATCTGACCAACTTCTCACCATCCCCACTGCTGCCATCCTGGTCAAGCCTTCACCAACTCTCACCTGCATTATTGCAGTAGCCTCCAAGCAAGTCTCCCTGCTTCTATCATTGCCTCATCCCCTATTATAATCTATTCTCGTATCTCTGAGTGATCTCTTTAAACATAAGGCACGTCACTTCAAAACCCTGCAATGGTTTTGTTTCCCTTAAGAGTAAAACCCAAAATTCTTTCTATGGCCCTTTGTTCCCTCTCTGACCTTCTCTCGCTACTTTCTCTTTTGGTTAAAAAACGGTGTCTTACTGAAGAACATTTAGAAAATACAGAGACTCTCACTCAAGTCTCTGTATTTTCTAAATGTTCTTCAGTAAGACACCGTTTTTTAATTAATGAAAAGTTTTAAATGATAAAACTATGAAAGAGTAATCTAATCTGCCATTTTATTCACATGCTTCCACTATTAGAACACGATTGTATAACAAGTCTGAGAAGAAAAACTAAGTAAATTTATGGTGCCCTGAATGCCTACGTACCTAATGAAGACCTTGATACAGACAAATCTTCTCAAAAAATCAAACGGTATGATGAAATAGCACGATTTCTGGGTTTGGGATTGAAATATATTTCTTACATCTTTTATTACTAATTGTGATAGCTTGACTAAGTCACTATTCTCTGATTCAGTTTTCTTCTGTGTAAAGCTGAAGTGATCTGTAAAACTAATAAACCTGGTGTTCTACAACAGGGACACCTCTACATAGCTACCCAAAATACACCTAAAAAGACCTACTTATTTCTAAGAATGCTATTGAACATTCTAGATTAATCTGCATATACAAAAGAATGACAGAAAATAAACCAAAATATCAAAAATATTTGGAGCCTGGTTGCGGATTGAATTTTATACAATTTCCAAAGACACTATCTGAGAGGCTGTCGTGTGTAGCCTATCAAGAAAAAAACAGAGGGGTGGGGTGGCTCACTCTCTAGGAACCACAAACTTAAGGTTCCTAAAAAGAACAGATTTTAAATATTCAGACTGTGTATGTATCATGACCCAGGGTTGGGGGCAGATGGCTCCAGATGACCTGGGGTGGCGGGGGGGAAAGGACAGATGGGGGAGATCTTCTATCAGGATCTCCTGGGGAACTGCTCCAGGCTAAAACAAATCACCAGTTAGGACGAATCGCCTTCGATGTGAAAGTTGGGAAACTAGACTGTAGTTTCGCCTTATCCTTAGCGGGTCGGTTCTAACAATTTTGTAACCCAACCTGAACCACTCACCGGGTCAACTGGGCAGCAAGCCCTTATGAGTTGGAGACAAGTGGCCCAGACCCAACACAGTCAGACAAATCGCTGGGTGGCCATCTGCTCCTGAGACCGTTGCTAGAGAAACAAGACGAGATCCAGGTTCACCACATCAGGGTTTTCCGGGAGCCAGCCAAGGCGCTCCGGGGCGTGGTTACGTGAGCGACGCACGGAGGGGGCGGGCCAGAAATAACCGGACAGCGGCGCACCCCAGGGCGCATGCGTGCTGTGCAGCGCGGTCTCAGGGAAGGTGGGGCTATGGCAGCTGCTAGGGACCCTCCGGAAGTATCGCTGCGAGAAGCCACCCAGCGAAAATTGCGGAGGTTTTCCGAGCTGAGAGGTACCAGAGAAGGCATCCGAGTTCTCCTGGGCAATGCAGAGGGAGGGTGCTTTTGCGTGCCAGGAAGTTTGTTGGACTGTCACTTCCCGTCTGCTTCTCATCTGCAGGCCTATGACGCCCCCCAGGAGTAGCTAGCTAATAATCCTTTTCAGTTTTTATTTATTCTTTTCACTGTCCCTGCTTGACATGCTTGTTGCTTATTCTTAGTAGTACAGATATTAAAATGAGGGCGGAGGAAGAAGAAGAAAGAAAATCTGGTGAAGTTATGCATTGATTAGCTCATTAATAAAAGTTACTTTAAATAAATCTAAAAGATATTAAGCACAGTATTTTGACCTTTATGAGTAGATCCCAACCCCCTAATGTAAACCTCACTGTTTACATTACATTCATCTACTTCTGTAATGTAAACGTTTGTTGAGGGAGTAACAGAGCATGGAGGAATTATAGATTAAAAATTAAAAGGAAGAAATTTGTTACCAAAAAATTGGCTATGCCACTTAATCCCCGTACAACTGGCTAATAAAAGTGGTTACTGATGCAGTGACTGCTTAAAAAATACTGGGACTAATACTTGGATAACAGTAAAATATTCAGGACTATTAGATTCTAGCTGACAGGTTCTGTTTGTTAACTAATTAAAACGCTAAATCATTTTGTTTACCAATAAAGAGATTCCAACTGTCTACTAAAAGTGCAGACTGTCTTTTAAAGCTGTCATCAGAGAGTTGGGACTTTCTGTTATCCAGAATTTTATGTTCTAACAGCCTATGTAAGTTTGCATGGTTTATCTTAAAGTAATAGAAAATAAAGTACCCACATTTATAAACAGCAACATTGATGGAATGGATCTTTGAGTTGTCTTTTTTTTTTTTTTTTTTTTGAGACACAGTCTCGGTCTGTCCCCCAGGCTGGAGTGCAGTGGCTCTATCTCGGCTCACTGCAAGCTCCACCTCCCGAGTTCACGCCATTCTCCTACCTCAGCCTCCCAAGTAGCTGGGACTACAGGCGCTCGTCACCACGCCCGACTAATTTTTTTATTTTTAGTAGAGACAGGGTTTCACCGTGTTAGCTGGGATGGTCTCCATCGCCTGACCTCGTGATCTGCCCGCCTCGGCCTCCCAAAGTGCTGGGATTACAGGCGTGAGCCACCGCTCCTGGCCTGGGTTGTGTCTGTCTCAGTCACCTAACACTAAGTGTCCCTGATACGTAAGAATTGATTTGCAACACTGGAGATTTGTTTGTCTCCTCTTCTTATTGAAGAATTGAGGCAATAGTCTTTGGCAAGTTAAAAGTCGCTCTCTTAATCAAGAAACATTGTATCGTTCAGCATTTATAATTAAATTGGATTGTAGACCATAAAAGGAGGGAGTGATCTAAAAGAGAGAAAAAAAAGGGACTTGTGAACAGTCCTCATTGTAACTATTTTGAATCATACAAATGCACCACTGATTATTCCCTAACTCTCAAAAGCCAAAGATACATTTTGGAAGATGGTAATAGATGTTACCTTCTTTTTCTTCTTTCTAAGTAGGCAAACCTGTGGCAACTAGAACATTCTAATAATTTTTGTTGTCATTTGCTTGCCTTTTCCAAATAGGCAAACTGGTAGCGCCTGGAGAATTCTGGGACATAGTTGCAATAACAGCGGCTGATGAAAAACAGGAACTTGCTTACAACCACCAGCTGTCAGAAAAGCTGAAAAGAAAGGAGTTACCCCTTGGAGTTCAGTATCACGTTTTTGTAGATCCTGCTGGAGCCAAAATTGGTATGTGCTTTATGGTCAGATTTATAATGTAGGTCCTAAGCGGAATAATCATTGAAGAAAAGCTTTTCTGTGACGTACAGTGTATTAGCTGCATATCTCTACCCACAGCTTTATAAACTTTAAAATTTGAACATAAATTCACTTTTTTTAGAAAGATAAAAGGAATAGCAACTGTTCTTACCCATTATGACTTACCTTGAAAAATTTCCAGAATGTTACTTAAAAGATAATTTTATCAGTTTTTATGAAATTTACACTACTCAGATAGGAATACTCCTTTGGACCTTATCAGTAGAGCTCTTAAGGTCCTCTCCACTCCAAAGTTCCTCCAGCAGTTTACATGAAGAAAGCAAAGTAGTGGGAAAAAATACTCTTGGCCTTTTGAGGACATAATGCAAAAGAACACTGTCACATGGCTTAAATATCATAATACACATATTTGGAAACCCTAGTTTAGGTCAACTTTGCCCTTTGACCTTCCATTGCGAATAGAAATAAATGCTGTTTTTTCTGAAGGCTATTTTCTATGTGATACTTAAAGTTGAAGCCCCTTGATACCAGAGATAGGCTATCTGTAAATGACATTAGCATTATTCTAATTAGCCAATGTTATTTTAATCCTTATAACTATGAGGTCAGTACTCTTATTATTTCTTTTTTTTTTTTTTTTTGAAATGGAGTCTTGCTCTGTTGTCCAGACTGGAGTGCAGTGGTGATCTTGGCTCACTGCAAGCTCCGCCTCCTGGGTTCATGCCAGTCTCCTGCCTCAGCCTCCCAAGTAGCTGGGAGTACAGGCGCCTGCCACCACGCCTGGCTAATTTTTTGTATTTTTAGTAGCGACGGGGTTTCACCTTGTTAGCCAGAATGGTCTCGATCCCCTAACCTCAACATCCACCCGCCTCAGCCTCCCAAAGTGCTGGGATTACAGGCGTGATATTATTTCCATAGATGAGAATCTGAGGTACTGAGAGTTAGATAACTGGCCCAAGATAACTAGTGTGGTAGTTATATTTAAGATTGTTTTTTGGAATTCAAGTTCTAAAAATCTTTTTTTTGAAAGGAACTCTAACTTGTGTTGTTGATTGTGTCATTTGGGAGAATTATTTAAATGGGCTTTGTGATTTGTAACTCTGTATGAATGCTTATGTTTATCAGTCTTCTAATGTTACAGATTGTGTAATTTATTATTTCTTCTTTCTTATAATTACTATTTTGGGGAGAATATTACCTCATCATTTATTACTGAGGGTTGTTGTCTGGGTTTCATTGCTAATTTATTGATTGGTTATTTGCTATGAGACGTTTTTAATTTTGTTCTATTGCCAATACCTTTGGTGTCCATCTATTTAATTATTCCTGAAAGGCAAATCCTCAAGGTTTTATAACACCTAAATTTACCATCATGACAAAGTTTTAGTAGGTTTCTATTAAATAAATTGTGCTTTTTTAACTTTGTTTTTAAGGAAATGGAGGATCAACACTTTGTGCCCTTCAACGTTTGGAAAAGCTATATGGAGATAAATGGAATTCTTTTATCATCCTATTGATTCACTCTGGTAATGTTATACTTTACTAATTTACATTTTCTTTTTAGTCTTCCACCTTTAATACTTTAGAGACTTTTTTCTGTCTTGCAAACACTTTCCTTCTTTTTTTAAAAAAAATCTTTGAAGTTATTCTGCTTTGAAAACAAATATTTCATGATTTTCATGGTTTTTTTTTAGGTTGTAAGTAGTATAGTGGTTTTCACAAATTTTACTCATAAAATTGTAGATCACATATATCGTCAACCTTTTATGAATATTGTTTTCTTTTGGGTATGTATATAGAAAATTATTTTCCTAAGACAACTCATTCAAATATGAATAGTTCTCAGGAATGCTTTAGTGGGGATTTTTCTTTTAAATTTAATTTACATTTTAAGTTCCAGGGTACATGTGCAGGTTTGTTGCATAGGTAAACGTGTACCATGGTTGTTTGCTGCACCTATCAACCCATCACCTAGGTATTAAGCCAGTATGCATTAGCTATTTTACCTAATGCTCTTTCTCCCTTAATGGGGATTCTTGCTTTAAGGGAAGGCTGGTTTAACACGGTCATTACTAGACTTTTGCCAGTACTTTTTTATCTTGCATTTTTGTGTGATTATTGGTAGCCAGAGGCCACACTGCTTAAAAATAAAAGGAAAATGTGACAATATACGGAGTGAACAAGTAAATATATAAGAGAGAAATCACACACATAAAATAAGACATTTTAAAACAGAAAAGTAGGAAGGACATAGCCTCACAATAAAGAATAGCTTTGTAAATTGAATACATTTAGTTGTGCGAAAATGTTGGTTACATGAAAACCTTTGTTGTTTTTCTCTGTATGTTAAGGGATTAATGAAAACTGTCATGAACCGACACCAGTCCAGGGATAGGTATTTTAGAATTGTTTGTCTACATGGCTTCCAAAGCACTTTCCCATTCTTATGATTTACATACAAAACAATGATTCTTTGTAAAGATGATGTCAAAGTAAAGCATCCAAGTTCTGGTTTGAAGACTAAAAATGTGTAAAAAAAATCTAATTTACAATTTTATTTAATAAAATAATTATTATTATCAGTTTAGTAAAAATTAAATTAGATACCAGGAAATGCATAGATTTTTTTTTATTTTTGTTTTTTGGAAATAGATAATTCTTAGTACTAGACTTTACTATTGACTGGTCTTTGGAAAAAGAAAAAATAGAAAGTTATTAGCTCCCTTTTGTTGAACAATATACTGTGTGCTGCCAAGTACTTTACATGTATTATTGATCTTCAGTAATAAATTAACCTTAGCTTACTATAACATTTTTACTTTATAAACTTCTTAATTTTTTTAGCTTTTTGACTCTATTGTAATAACACTCAGCTTAAAACACAAACACTGTATAGCCGTACAAAAATATTTTCTTTATATCATTAGGGTTTATTCCGTTGTTTTTATTTTTACCTTTTAAACTTTTTGGTTAGAAATGATGACACAAAAATAGTGTAGGCTTAGGCCTACACTGGGTCAGGATCATCAGTATCACTGTCTTCTACCTCTGTAGTCCTACTAGAGTTCAGGAGCTGTCATCTCCTATAACAATGCTGCCTTCTGAAATACCTGCTGAAGGACCTGCCAGAGGCCATTGTATTTTTAACTTTTTTTAGTATGTATCATATGAATTTATTCTAAAATAACAATGAAAAGTATAGTATAGTGAACACAAAAACCAGTAAAATAGTCATTTATTACCAAGTATTGTATACTATACATAATTGTATGTTCTATAGTTTAGTAAACTGGCAGCACAGTAGGTTTGTTTATACCAGCATCACCACAAACACTTGAGTGGTGCATTATGCTAGGACTTTACAATGGCTCCAACATCACTAGGTAATAGGAATTTTTCAGCTCCATTATAATCTTGTGGGACAACCTATATATATGCTGTCCATCTTTGAGCGAAATGTTGTAAAGAAGCAAATGACTGTATTTTAGCATTAGTATATTAGTTTTCTATAATTTTATTTTCTGTGAAGTAGATTCTTAATTAGAAGTCTAAACATGGTTGAAATTTGTTGTTTAAAATGTAGATACAGTCTGGGTGCAGTAACTCACGCCTGTAATCCCAGCACTTTGGGAGGCCGAGGTGGGTGGATCACCTGAGGTCAGGAGTTTGAGACCGGCCTGGCCAACATGGTGAAACTTCGTCTCTACTAAAAAGACAAAAATTAGCCAGGCACAGTGGCAGGCGCCTGTAATCCCAGCTACTTGGGAGGCTGAGACAGGAGAATCACTTGAACCTGGGACACAGAGGTTGTGGTGAGCCAAGATCGCACCACTGCTCTCCAGCCTGGGTGACAGAGTAAGACTTCATCTCAGAAAAAAAGAAAAAAAAATGTAGATACAACATCATGTTTTGGGCCATGGTCCTTCTTGTTTGTTATACATGTAATTCAAAACATTTCACAGATTCTACAGTATACATAAATTTTTTCCTGACCTATAGTTTTTAAAATTGTGTTATATCACATGGCAACAAGAGAATTTCTCTTTGAATTTTTAATCTGGATTTCATTATTCTTTCCTGATTTACAGTAACACATGGTATATATTAAATATCTTTAAATATATTTTGATTTGTAACTTACAGGTTATTAAACCCTGGGTTTTGAAAATTTTATAAACAATACTACATTTTTAAATGGTTATTTTGTTTTAATTTTATAGGTGGCTACAGTCAACGACTTCCAAATGCAAGTGCTCTGGGAAAAATTTTCACTGCTTTACCTCTTGGTAACCCCATTTATCAGATGCTAGAATTAAAACTAGCCATGTACATTGATTTCCCCTTACATATGAATCCTGGAATTTTGGTAACCTGTGCAGATGATATTGAACTTTATAGTATTGGAGAATTTGAGTTTATTAGGTTTGACAAACCTGGCTTTACCGCTTTAGCTCATCCTTCTACTTTGACGATAGGTACCACACATGGAGTATTTGTCTTAGATCCTTTTGATGATTTAAAACATAGAGACCTTGAATACAGATCTTGCCATCGTTTCCTTCATAAGCCCAGCATAGAAAAGATGTATCAATTTAATGCTGTGTGTAGACCTGGAATTTTTTGTCAACAGGACTTTGCTGCGGGTGACATCGCCGATCTTAAAGTAGACTCTGACTATGTCTACACAGATAGCCTATTTTATATGGATCATAAATCAGCAAAAATGTTACTTGCTTTTTATGAAAAAATAGGCACACTGAGCTGTGAAATAGATGCCTATGGTGACTTTCTACAGGCTTTAGGACCTGGAGCAACTGTGGAGTACACCAGAAACACATCAAATGTCGTTAAAGAAGGGTCAGAGTTGGTAGAAATGAGGCAGAGAATATTTCATCTTCTTAAAGGAACATCACTAAATGTTGTTGTTCTTAATAACTCCAAATTTTATCACATTGGAACAACCGAAGAATATTTGTTTTACTTTACCTCAGATAACAGTTTAAAGTCAGAGCTCGGCTTACAGTCCATAACTTTTAGTATCTTTCCAGATATACCAGAATGCTCTTGCAAAACATCCTGTATCATTCAAAGCATACTGGATTCAAGATGTTCTGTAGCACCTGGCTCAGTTGTGGAGTATTCTAGATTGGGGCCTGATGTTTCAGTTGGGGAAAACTGCATTATTAGTGGTTCTTATATCCTAACAAAAGCTGCCCTCCCTGCACATTCTTTTGTGTGTTCCTTAAGTTTAAAGATGAATAGATGCTTAAAGTATTCAACTATGGCATTTGGAGTGGAAGACAACTTGAAAAAGAGTGTGAAAACATTGTCAGATATAAAGTTACTTCAATTCTTTGGAGTCTGTTTCCTGTCATGCTTAGATGTTTGGAATCTTAAAGTTACAGAGGAACTGTTCTCTGGTAACAAGACATGTCTGAGTTTGTGGACTGCACGTATTTTCCCAGTTTGTTCTTCTTTGAGTGATTCAGTTACAACATCCCTAAAGATGTTAAATGCTGTTAAGAACAAGTCAGCATTCAGCCTGAATAGCTATAAGTTGTTGTCCATTGAAGAAATGCTTATCTACAAAGATGTAGAAGATATGATAACTTACAGGGAACAAATTTTTCTAGAAATCAGTTTAAAAAGCAATTTGATTTAGAGACATTTTAAATATTGTACACTTTGCCTTTTTGAGTAACATTCCCGAGATAGGTATTTTCTGTAGGCTGTTTCACTGAACTCAATTAATGAAAATTATGTTAATGTAATTCCTGTAGCATAATAATAATAGCACAAAAGTACATATAAATCATTTTTGAAGAAAAATATTTCAAGACTAAGTTGAGAAAATAGCTATTTTTTGGATGTGTATCAGTATTTTAGTTTTTAATAATGATTGATTTGTGGAGCACTGTTTTTTCACATAGTTTTAAAGGTAATTTTCTAAGCATATCTTTAGAATTTTTCCATCTTTTTTGAGGCTTTTGATCCAGTGAAGTTCTAAGTATTCACTGGCACTTCTCTCCTGAACTGTAATTCTATTTTGAATAATAAAAATGGCATACTGTAGGATGTTCAGAGTAGTGTAGGAATACTGTAGAAATACTTTTTCAGAAACAAATCCATAGCTGAAACATTCACTGAGTGCCCAATATATTGTGATTATTTTAGTTGATAAATAACTAGATACAAAGACCTCTGAAATTGATGATAAAATTCATATCTCATTAATTTTATCAAAATGAAACTAAAAGTACATATGTATTATACACTTGAACATGTGTTTGTGTATCTTTAAATTTTTCCTTTATGTTCCATTCCATAGGAAAACACATACATATGCGCACAAAACTCAGTTATCTGTGGGGAAAGTGGTAGTAATAATTGAAATTCATCAATAATCACATAATTTCACTATAGACTTTACTTGTATTATCTCCTGTCAGTCCTTCTAACAAAACTGAAATTACCAAATGAACTGAATTGACTTTTCATCTTATTTTTTATCCACACACTGGTGATGCTGAGAAACAATAATTGGTCCAAATGCAGACATCAAGAAGCAGGCAGGAAAATGGAAAAACTTAGATAATACACAGATGATAAAGTTTCAAGAAAATAAAAATTGGCTGGAATCTCAAGTTATGTGTTTCTATATTGGTGTAAGCATATAAGTGAAAAGTCTTTGTACTACAGTGTAATAGAGAAAAGATTTGTCAGTGTGTGTTTTTTTTAATGAAATAATTAGCCTGTGCTACTTTATGTCAATGTAAAAATTGGTAAACTAGAAGTAAATTGTCCACAACCCTCAGTTATGATACTTGTGTTTGTGTTTTTTTTTTTTTTTTCCAAAGTTTTTCCCAAGGATAAGATACAAATACATGGTAGCTATTGTTTAAAAATGATTGATTTACTTGCAGATTTTTCAGAGGATGTTATATGTTTGTCATTCACTAAATGTTCAGAATTGTAGTTTTACCAAATCTGAAGTGCCATCAATTATAAGAATCACCATTATTTTATGTTGCATTAAGAAAAACACAATAAAACATGACACAATGCTTTGTTACTTGAAATTTTCATATTTATTGGAGATCTCTTTTAGTTGTTTTTAAATACAGATTTTTATTTAACCCTCTTGCATATACATATCAAATAACAAAAAAGTGAAATATTGAATGAATGTACATATAAAATAACAAAAAAGTAAAATATTGAGATATCATCAAGAAATTTCTACAGCTTCACATTCAAACTCTTCAGCACTTTCAGAGCTATTGATATGCATACGTCCACCTAGTACCTTCTGTGCTTTCAGAGTTATTGGTAAGGCTGTATTTCCTGAGTGCTCTTACCACACTTATGTCTGGATTTTTTTTTTACCTAACTGCAGACCCACACTTGTGCAAGTTTTGATACCCTTCTGTTTGACAAAACTCAGTTTCACTTTTGCTTCAGTTTAATCACAGGTCCTTAGAAGATCAGACCTGTGATTGATTTGTCACAAATTGATGATCATATTAACATGTTAATATTAAAATTATTGTTTGGTAAACCAGAAGTGACCATCTGAAGCCCTCAAATATGGTATTTGTGTGTTTATTTTTTCTTTTTCAAGATTCTTTTTAAAGAAAATATATGATAGCTGTTGTTTAACATTTATTTACTTACAGAGTGTTCAGAGGATGTTATGTGTTTATTAAGTGCTCACTACTGTATTTTACCTAATCTGAATTTTAACCATAATCCTGCACAGTGCATGGATTCCAGTTGCTTTGAAATGGTTCTGTTCAAAGGACTTATCAAGGTCTCTTGCTCTGAGATGTATTGCTTGGTGTATAGTAGCACACACATACCACCAATAGTGTACCTAATTCAACTGAAATGACAGTCATATACACAGATATGACCAAGTTCACATGTGAGCAAGTAACAACTCCATGACTATTGCTGCCTGACTAATAGCTATTATACTATCATTTGTAAGGCACATTCTGTTTTCTGGGATATCGAAATGTGGAGAAAAAAAGATGAATTAGGAAATGATTCTAACCTAAATGTGTGTTTTAATAAAAGGATCTAGGGAAAAAAAAAAAAAAAAAAGTAAGTCACTCCTAAATTTAATCCCTGAATGCAGTGTACATGATGAGAGAGAAGTATATTTTTGATAAGAAGTAACTAAATTTTGTAACAATCTTAATTTTTCAGGCTTTTCATTTAGTCTCCCAATAAAGATTCGTTTTTTTCTGAATTTTATCAGCAATAGAAAAATAAGACCTAAATGGATAAGTTTGAAATTAAACATTTTGTCTCATTTTATAATTTTTATTTTTATAAAATCATGGCACTTACATCATATACTCAGGTGTGTCAAATCCTGCTATTGTTTGTAACTATAATCCATAAACTTATTGATGGTTTAATAACTGTCAACAAGGGCATGAGAAAAATTCAACATTTGGTAATAATCTTTTACCTTAGGCATTTATTCTCTAAGCAAAGCAGAAATAAAAGATATATATCACTGTGTACTGATTGAAATAAAGCTTTAAAAATCCAAGTGATACTCTGAAATTGTCAAAAGTTTGATGGCATGAATCCAGGATTAATTCCCACAACCCCGGATGATCTAGACATCTTCTGTAGCTACGCAGTACTCCTAATGTTAAGATTACCAAATTCAGCAATAAAGCCAAAATCAAAACCGCCTCTTGTCACATATAGCTGTTAAGTAAACTACACAAAATCAGAGTTGCTATTTACATACATCATGATGCCTTCTGGACTTGAGCACCTTGGAGGCTCAGGATTAAGGCACCTCAGTCTAACCTAGCAGAATTACAATGGAGAGAAGCGAAAACTCATTAGTAGCTCAAAACCAGCTAAAGGATTTCAGATGCTCTTTTCCTTGTTCATCTAAATCAAGTCTTCATCTGTGTCAAGAACTAAATTGTTAAAGACCTTTTTAATTTGCTTAGTGCAAGAAAAATAATAGCAACCATATATCTAGTTAACTTGAGTCTTCTGTGCCTCTCAATTTTGTTTAGACAAAGCCTATTTCTATTGAGGTTGAGAAACACAATTCTAATACTTAATACAATTATTAACATTCCTTGCATTTAACTTCATCATATTTTCCTTCCTCCAATACTAGTGTGCCGCAAATTCTGTAACATAATCACATTCTTCATGCCCCCATTTATCTGTATATACAGAAACTTCTGCTTAGGTTTTTTTAATACATAATGAAAGTCTAGTCATACCAGTTTGGTTGAAGAATACTAGTTCTGTCCCTAGAAGAGCTGTCTACGTGAGCCATAACAAACTGAACTTGCCACGTCATTCAAACTTGCCAATTTGGCTGTAGTTTAGTAGACGACAACTTTGGGTCAGGTTAATATTTGGGGAAATGGAATAATAAAACCTGCTGATTTTCCTACTGTATTGATACTTGGAGGATTGGAGGTGTAGAGGGAAGATGCCTGTAAATGAGTGACTATTATCAACTACCTGCACATCAACTTGATTGTTGACACTTATGTCTAAAGATGTTCATCCCAAGAGTATTATTGTGCATGCAAGTAACTGATTGATACTAACAGAGTTAACATTTTATTTTGGGCTGCTTGGATAAATAGTCTATCTTTTTGAAGCCTCTGGCTGCAGGAATCTCTTAGCCATCGCACATATAAATTTCAACCATTCACACAGAGCAATTCATTTCTGATTGCTATAGACTAGTGCAATCCATCTGCTAGTGTCATTTCCTAGCTATCTGTACCAGAATTATACTCCTTCAATTGTGCTTTAGTGCATTTCTGAAACAATCTAAACTAAAATGTCTATATTCTTTGGCCACTGGCTTATGATGTGTTACTGATATGCTTGTTGAATCTCCAGCCTCCTTAAATGCTTTTTAAAATCTTTGCTACAACCAACACATCGTAGCTAAGTAATCTGCACATGTGAATGATTTTTTTTTATTTCTTTTCTTACCAGTATCCACTCTTTTCTCTCTGCAGCACATTCAGATGGTTCAAGTGAGTTTTAATTTACCACTTCCTTGTAGGAGAGTGTCGCATCGCCCAGAATAGAATTAAAGCATTTACATCTTGAGGCAAAAAAATCTTTTAAAATACAACTATGTCGAAATCAAGTAAGTGTTCATTTCATTTGCAGGTTTAGAAATGTTGCACTGCTTAATGAAGTTTACGTGAGTGGTTTTTTTCCTATTATTTTTAGCCTTGGGGTTTGAGAAAGTAAATTATGTCTGTCAATATGCTGTTCTTTAGAGAAGTTTCCAATATTTCTAGAACTAGAAAACTTGGACTACACAAAGAAATAATTACAAATAGATCAAGTGGCCCAAGTTCAGATTTTAAATGTACAGGCACACTGACAAGTCATAAATTAAAAATGCACTAATTATATATCACTGGGATCAATCTTTAATGAAATTGAATAAGAAAGATCATCACTCATTATGACTGGTTAAAGTTGATAGAGCTTCTAATTAAGCATTATCCAGTCGAATAAAGAGCTGTCTATGGAAGCTAGCCTATGAGGAAGGAAGGAGAAAGTTTTAGAGTAATTCTTTTTTACTTGTTGCAACAGGTGATTCTTCAATACAAAAAAATATTTACCATGAGTTCAGTGAGAAGAAGCAATTTACAAAATTAGCCATGTTTCTTTTGTCTTCAATTATGTATCTCTAGACTAAAAACATGCTGCAATTTTCCATAACATAAAAATAAATAAGCAAAAACAAAAACAATACTTCTCTTAGCCATATTATTTCATCAGGATGTAGTAAGCCTAGTTTCATCTACAATGAAACCTAAGTTGTACTAGCCGTCATAATATACCCAACACTGAATTCTAGATTCAGAGATGTACCTCCCTGCTTCGTATCCCTCCCTTACTGGAAAAAAATACATAGGCATCTCTATTTGGAGAGCTCTAATCTTCTCTCTATCAAGTAAGATAATCTTTTTCATCTAGATAAATGACACAGCCATTCACCAAATTGCTCAAGGCAAAAACCTGGAAATTTTCCATGACTCTTCATGTACTTCCCCTCATCCTTTTCATCCTGTTTTCAACAAGTGAAACATATGAAATGAAAAACACATGAATATGAAAAACACAACCAAAACCCATCCACCTCTCTCAACTTGTTGAGCTACCACTGTTTTCTAGACGAATGCAATTTTTTTTTACATCCCATAATGCCTTATTGTATATTGTAATAACAATGATCTGACTTTTATAATTGAACATGAAGGCAAAGTTACAGAAAGCCTACAAAGGAAAGATTTAAAAGATTGGCACTGAGGTGTATGAGGCGTTGAAAGAAAAAGGAATACTGTGGCCATCTCAGCCTTGCTTCACTAATTTAGTACTGTTTTTGTATCCCATTTTGCTTCCCTGAAGACTACCTTTTAGGACAAAGATTCATACTACTTTCTGACATTCTACACTTTATTTTCTCCATGAAGTTTTGCCTGGTGATAGTCTGCAATCTCTTTACCACCCACATTGTTGTTTTTTACCTTTTTCATATTTGCTACGTGTAATCAGATGTCAGCTGGAAATTTGCTTTCCCTTTAGATGCAGGCAACGTTAGTTGAACCTCTATTCTAAACCCCATAGATGTCAAAAACTTCTCTCAAATATCTGTGAAATTCCTGAAGATCATATATCTTCATAATTACTTTGGGCTGTAAGCTTCCACTTCTGTTGAGTTAGTTCTGTTTGGGCTTGCATGTGATTTTCTCACAATTCTATGAGCTGAGCACGTATTTTTCACTATGTGAGTCTCAAACTTTTCCTCTTTCCCACAATTAGAGCATCACCATATCCCCTCCAGAAAAAGGCCTTCTCACACAAATTTTATGTGTAGCAAATTTCTCTGAATCATTGGAGCTATGGAGGAAGGTGCTGGAAGGAAAGAGAAGGATACATATCAGAGTACAGCATTAAGTAATACTTGTTCTTAGAAATCCTTTGGCATCCTCATCACCAAGACTTTCTTCACTAGCTATTTTTTTTATAATCCAAAATTATGTCTAACTTTGTTTCTCTTCCTCAGACCAACTTCTTCCATCCCGTTACGAGATATGCACACATTGTTTACATTGTTGACATATAGCATTTATCTCTTCTTTCTCTTGTGTCATTAGTTTTCGTCCTTTAATGGATTATTCTCATCAGTACACAAATATTCTGTGATTTTTCCAATTTTAAAAAAAAAAAAAAAACCCTTGACTACACTTCCTTCAGGTATTACTTTATTTCCTTGCTCCTTTTACACTAAAATTTTTAGAATACATTGTCTATTCTTCCATTCTTCAGTTCCCATCTTCCTATTTACTCTTCAACTCAATTCAGGCTTTTAGCACCCCTCTTCATTACCACTACTCCATTAAACTTGTTCTTCTGAAGATTTCCAGAGCTCTCGACTTTGCTAAATCCAGGGGTCATTCTTGGTCTCATCTTCTTGCCCTTTAAACAGCATTTATCTCAATTGATTACTTCTTTGACTTGCATTCTTTACCTGGATTCAAGGAACCCCAATTACTGGTTCTTTTTCTAACTTATTGGTCACTCTTTTTAAGTCTCTTTAACTGATTTCTCCTTATCTTCCTCACCTCGTATCACTAGAAGGTCACAGATATTTGTGTTTGAATTACTCTATCCACATTCACTCCTTTGGAATACCATCCATTCTCATAGCATCTATGTGTTATCAATTCTCAAATCTGTATTTCTCATTATCAAAATGTAACTCTCAAATTGTTAAAATATGAATCCATAAATTGTGAACGTGGGTCAGAATTTAATTAATGAGGAAACCAGCAGGATTATGAAGTTGGTTTTATATTGTACCAGATGCTACAAGGAAGAAAATTTATATACAACATTATAAAGAATTTTGTCCAATACTAGAGTACATTTTCTTATGAGATAATAGGCTTATGCAAAAAGTCCAAAAGACAATTTAGCAGGAGTTTTCTCAAGTTCTTATTTTAGATAAGAGGTAGGGCCTGGAGACAGGGAACATAAGGCTGATTCACACTTAAACTATGGCAGGAAATATCCTTTCCAGAGGGTGTATGCAGAGTAAATGACTTTAACTTTACTTCATCCTCTCCATTTACATAGGGCATACACCGAGTAACCATTGGAAATCTCTAGAGGGTATTTAAACCCCCGCAAATTCTGTAACGGCGTCCATGAGACCCTATGCTCTGGCCCACTCCCACACTGTAAAGTGTACTTTCATTTTGAATAAAGTTCTTCATTCTTTCTTCGCTTTGTGTGTTTTGTCTAATTCTTTGTTCAAAATGCCAAGAACCTGGTCACTGTCCACCGGTAACAGGATTAGCTAATGACTGTGGGTTGGATTTCCTGAAAAGCAGAATCTGAGATGTACTTTAGAATGCAAAATATTCTTAAGGAGGGCCTGTGGGACTAACACTTGTACAAGGAAGGGGAGAGAGCAAAACAGAGAAGAAGAAAGTGAAGCTGAGATGCAACCCCAAAGACAACCTTAAATTGGCTAATCGCAAGAGGAGCTCTGGATACTAGAATAGCACTTCAGTGTTTCCCAAGTTTAACCTGGTTGGCCAGGATTTATACCACACATCAATTATCTTTTCTCAGGTGCCCAATCGATAAGGAATACAATGGACAAGATACCTTTTTAGGAATAAGGCAGTATATGAAAGGGGACTGACCCGTGAAAGCTCTCCACTGACAGCACTTGCAGTAGCTGAGGTAACAAGCTCTTCATTGAAGAAGTGATATGGGTGCTATCACAGTGTTCACCACAGTAACATTATGAAGTCCAACTCAATTCCAAGGTTCAATTTCTATATGTAACTATTTTAATGAAACATTGTTATGTCAAGTTGAATTATGACTTCCAAACTAATCATGCAATATTGTACTTATTTTAAGTATACCCAATCCAAGAAGAAACTATACTTTAGTAGATATGTCAATCATTGATTTACAGAAGCTTTTTTTTTTTTTGTAATACTGTCACAAATCTACATGATAATCCCTAGTGCCAGATTTTACTTTTGACTAGCTGAGCAAGCTAAAATATTCATAAATTCACATGAAGCCAGATGGCTTCCCACTGAATATGCATTTGAATGATTCCTGTACATTATTTATTCCAAGAAGTGCACAAAATATACCATCGTCATAGCAGAGACTCCTGATAAGTTTGTTTCAGAAAGGAGTCAAGGAATAACAGGTGTCCAATGCTAACTATATTTTGCACTGAACCATGATTCTATGTATATTTGAGAATTACTAACAGCAGACTCCATATAGTTATTTTCTATTAGTCTCTGAAATATCAGGAATCTGAAAGAAGGAAGGTTCAGCAAGAATGACTAGCATTTTGAGAAAAATAGGATTTAACATGGCTAGCATAACGTCTTAATAATTTGCTTAGTTATCTAAAATATTGAAATGTACAACACAAAGTATTAACCATTTTTGTCAAGTCTATCAGTATGCTTTTAGGGATACTTTTTTTTCAGATTAAAATCACAGATGTGAATTTGAAATGAAAATATAACTTAATCATTAAAAGCTTTTTCTCCAACGTATTTGGGGAGAGAAGAAATGAAAATAGCATTTTTTTTTTTAATTCATAAAGTTTCCTTTCATTTAAATCTGCTATGTCCCTTTTTA